TTATTATTATTATTTTCACTTTTTTTTTGATAGCGATGATAAATTCCGATGATTTGTCGTAGTTTTAAAGGATTCGACAAAGTTTTGTTTTTATCAGATTCCTAGAAAAAAGTAATTGATTGAATATCGACGGTGTTCTTTCCACTAAATTATTCAAAAAATGTTGGCCGTTCCCCAAAATTCAATTTATTGTATTTTTAAAATTGTGGAACGGGTCCCACAATGTTCCCACAATGACCGGAATCTTTTCCGTTTGCATTTCCCTCCTCTCCTCTCCCCCCCACATCCCCGATATTTTTTCTATTTTCAAATTCTTATGTTTCAGCCATTTTTTCCCCGCCCCCTTCGGTTCTTTCACGAGTGCGGATACTCGAATTAGTTTACACTATTTTACGAAATGATATCCGCTTTGTTGGATGGAACAATTCTGTCAGGATTAATTGGTTGTTCGTTTTCGAAAATCGTTTTCGAACTGGATTTTAAAAGTAATCGTACAATTTTTTTCTTTGTCTATTTCTTTTCTTTGAATCTCACGACATATATTCCGACGGAATTATTATTATTATTATTATTATTATTCCATATCGAAAAATTGAAAAATTTCAACGGAGAATAAAAAATAAAATTCATCATGATTCGTTATAAAGGTGGATTTTCTTTTTTCTTTTCAAAAGGTTGTTTTCAATTTCAAAAGGGGGGAGGGGAGGAAAAACATTGAATTTATATATTTTATTTTAATTTTTTTTTTTTTTAATGTAAAATAAATTTTCAAATGTAGAAAAAAAAAAAAATTCAATGTCAATCATGAAAAAATTTGTTTTAAAAAGAAAAAAAAAATTGATTTTTTTTTCATTCTAAGGACCTTGTTCGACCTTAAACTTTTTAATACAAAAAAAAAAAAAAATTATCGAAAATTCTAAAAGAAAAAAAAAATTTAAGGGTTTTTTAAAAGAGAAGAAAAAATTTTTTTTTCCCGCGAAAAACTTTTTTTAAAAATTTTTTTCTTATTTTAAATCGAATAAAAAAAAAATGTCGTCGCATCGGATCGAGTAATTTGTAATGTTTTGTCCTAAACTTTTTATTTTTTTTTTTTTTAAACAAAACTTTCTAGAACTTTCCAGAAAACTTAAAGAAAAAAAACTAAAAAAAAAACTAAAAAAACAATTTTATTAATAAATTTTTTTTTCTTCTTCTGTTCTTTTAATAAAAACACTCGTTTGACATTTCGGAAAAACTTTTTTTTTTTTTTTACTCGTACCCCCTCCTCCCCGTCCCCCCGAAAAAAAAGAAAAAAAAATATATATATATATTTTTAAGATGTTTAAATTTTACTACTTTAAATTCAAGAGACGATGTTGCCGCTTTTTTGCTGTTGTTGTTGTTGTTGTTGATGAGAAGAAAAGTTTGTTTTTTTTCTCATTGTTAAACAAATACTCGGAATGAGTTTCGATCGAGAGGAATCGATTTTTATTGATTGATTTGTTAATAATAGTTGTAAAAATTTAAGTTTTCATTATTTATTATTAATAACGCGTAAATAAACCCTCCCCTCACCTCCCCCTCCCCCTTTCCTTATAAGAGTAAGACTAAATTTAAAAAAATTTTTTTTGCTTTAATAAAAAATTAATGCTGGAGAAGAAATGACGTCACGCACACACCTCTTTTATATATATATTAAAATGATGATTTATCAGTTTTGTTCTTGTCAAATCAAAAAAAAAAAAAAAAAAAGAAAAACGTTCGACTTTATATTTTTCCTTTTATATCAATAATTCAACACGCGCACTCACACACACAAGAAATTTCAACAAAATAATAATAATAATATAACCATAATTTCTTATTCAAATAGAAAAATAGGGGAAAAAAGGGGGAGGGGAAAAAATAGATTTAAATTTATCATTTGAAAATTTGCTTTTGTTAAATTTTTCTTTCCGTTATTATTATTATTATTATTTCGATTTGACTCAACTGCCAACACACTTCCGGCCTATATTCAATCGAAGGTAAAAAATCAAGTCAAGGACATAAAATCTATGATTTCTTCTCTCTCTCTCTCTCTCTAAAGAAAAACGGGGTCACATCATAGACATATATATAAATTTTTTTTTTTTTTTCTCCCGTAAATAAGTTATGACGGAAAGAGAGAGAGAGAGAGAGAAAGAAATTACACAGAAAAATAGGGGAGAAAGGGGGATAGGGGGGAAATTTTCGCGTTAAAAAAAAATAAAACAAACAAACAAACAAACGAAAGACCAAAAAAAAAAAAAAGCGAAAAGTTTTTGTTAAAAAAAAAAAAATTTTCCCCGATTTTCTCTTTGTTTCCGTTTCGAATAAAACAAAAAAATTAACGAATGAGACAAAGTTATTATTATTATTATTTAAAGTTAAACTTATAACAAATGTGATGCCATTATATTTTCACGTTAATAATAATAATAGTAGAATTCGTTTGATAACGCGTGCGTAACGTAAAAAAAACTTTTTTCCTTTTAACACATCAATTTCCGGTTTTCCAATTTCGATTTGTTTTTGTTCTTTTTTTTGTTTATCTTGATAAAATGTTTGTCTTATCATCATATTCTCTTATATTGACCGTTTGTATTATCATTATTAAATTTTTAATAAATAAATTCGCTCAGCGTGAGTATTTTCATTAAACTTTTATCAATTTAAATTTTCATTTTAAAAAAAATTTGGCGCGTTTAATTTTATTTATATATTTAATAATGATACGGGGAATGTTTGTTTTTCTAAAAAAAAAAATAATTAATTGTTTAAAAGGATAAATAATAATAATAATAATAATAATAATAATAATAATAATAATAATAATAATAATAATAAATTTGTTTTAATATCAGATTGTGAATTAATTATATTATTATCGAGTTAATGAAAAAAAAAAAAAAATGTAAATTTAAATACGTTTAATAATGATTCTAGATAAAGATATTAACAAAATTAAAAAAAAAAAAAAATGAGAGAGAGAGAGAGAGAGATAGAGAGAGAAATTGTTGCTAATGTAAAATTTGTATTTAATTTGTTTATTTTTTAATAAAAAAAAAAATTTAAACAACTAAAATTATTGTTTAAAAAAAAAAAAAAATTTAATTAACTGAAAACTTATTAAACACTAAAAAAATTTTTTTTTTTTATTAATAAGTTTAATTATTTTATTGTTATTGTTATTGTTTTTTTATTTAAATAATTAGAAAGTGAACAATAAGGCCGATATTATGCACTACTCGTTATTTTAATAATTTTAATAATAATAATAATAAAGTTTTTGTATTATTAAAGTTATTATCAACAAAAAATTTTTTTTTATTTATTTAATGAAGTTAAAAAAAAATTACAAATTGAATGAAATTTTTTTTTCTGTTTTAATAGGAAACAACCAAACAAACAAACAAACGAAGAAACAAACAAATAAAAAATTTATTATTTGTTCATCAAAAGAATTTTTTTTTTTTAAACATGAAATTTTGTTTAAATTAAGAATGTTACGCACTCCCGTGTGATTTTTTTTAGTTTTTTTTATTTAAACAAACGTGAAATGTTTAAAAAATTAATAATTTATTAGTTTTTTTTCATTATATTATACTAAATTTGTTTTTTTTTGTTACAAATAAAAAAATTGAGAACAATCACAAATGTTTGTACTATCGATTGAGGTCACAACCAAAAAATAAAAAATAAAAAAAATATTTTCTTCGTCAGTATGAGAGCGAGCATTAATATTTACCGTCCATATTTAAATTTGTTTGTTTGTTTGTTTGTTTAGTTTCGGGGGGAGGGGAGGTGAAGGGGAAAGAAAAACATAACAAAATTATTTTTAACTAAAATTTATTTTATTTGTTTGTTATAAAATTGTTGTTGTTGTTAATTGGTTGGTCGGTTGGTTGATTTTCGCACCCAAAAAAAAATTTTTACTTTCGAAAAAATAATTTTTTTTTCAAAGACTATATCTATCATCCATCCACAAAAATTTATCATTATTATTATTATTATTTGTTTAATAAATACTTATTTTTAATATGTCAAAGGTTAAAGATTTAAAATTTGTGCGGGTACTCGCGAACGTTTTATTTACAAAAAAAAAATTACTTAATTAATAAGTAATCGATATTAATATAAAAACGTTTTTATTATTAATAGTAACATGTAATAATTATTAAAAAATAAAATAATAATAGTTTTTATTAAACATATAAACGATTTATTAAAAAATAAATTTAAAAAAAAAAACATTTTAATAATCGAATTTAATATTCATTATTAATTACTAAAAAAAAAAAAATTATTTATTTTCAAAATTCGAATTAATATTAATGATGACGATAAAAATAAATAAATAAGTATTTTTTCGGCTCTTCAAACGTTTCGACGGTAATAATAATACTAATAATTTTTTTTTTAAACATTTTTTTACGTATTCGAAAACAAAGAATCAAACACATTTATTATTTAAAAAAATATATATATATGTACGTTAAACAAAAACTGTAATTTATAATTTTTTGACTTCATTCATTCGTGTTTAAAAAGCCGTTTGAGATGACACATCCGTTGTTAAGGTACCGATCCAGGTTGACTGTAAATTGTTGAGATTATGTTTATCCCTTAGATTTCTCACACATCGTTTTATTGCCGTCAATACCTATATTTATAAATACAAATTTATGTAAACAATATCATGAATCGATCGATCGATATATATATATAATTTTGTGTATAAATATATATATATGTACTAAATAAGAAATAAATATTTTTTATTGTCGTGAATATCGTAAAAAAAAAAAAAAAAGAAAAAGAAAATTTTAAAAGCTGAACTAAATTTTGCACTTAGGGAAAAATTTTTTTTTTATATATATATTTAATTTATTAAAGTGGATTTAGTCATATAAAGTGGAACAATTTAAATTTCACCCTAAAAAAAAAAAACAATTTCTGATAATAAAAAGGTTAAAGACCGCCGGTGGGGATCATCAAAATCACATATATAAATTTTCTTTATAAATTAAAAGAGTGACATCTGTGTTGTAAAAAACAAACTAAAAAAATAATGGCGTCGCGTGAAAAAATATAAATAATGTTTTCAGTAGCGAACGATGGATGTCTCGGTTGAATTAAATAATATTTAATAGTTTTTCTTATTAAAAAAAAAAAAAAACTATAACTTTGATCGAAAATAAAAATAAAAATTTTATTCCATATGTAGGGTTGTAATAAAAAATGAAATTCCCACCCCCACCCCTACCCCCCCCTAGTAAAAATACCTCTGAATTTACGTAGCAAAAAATAACAGCGACGAGAAAACCTTGTAAACCGTCAAATGTTGACCTTATGTACGCATAAGCTCCTTCGATACTCGAACAAACACTTTTCTGTCTGTATAAAGTAAATAAAAAATGTATTCCGAAAAGTGGCACTAAAACTAACGTTGCTTTTACAGCTTTCCTAAAAAATAAAAAAAATTTTTCTTACTAAACACGAAACATTTTATTATTATTATTATTATTTAAAAAATTGAATTCATACCTGAATTGCATTTGTTCATCCAAATGACCGCTTCTAAGTTTCATTATCAATACGGTAACGATATTTATTAAAAAAATTGTGTTGATCTATTGATAAAAAAAAATTATTATTAGAAATTTCTTCTTCTACCTTCCCCCCTTCTTTTAAATTTTTAATAAAATAAATAATAATAATAATAATATTAATACCAATAAACTTAAAAGACATGGAAGATGTAATGCCCAATCAATGTAATCTGATGGTAAAGCCCAACAATCCGTATCGTGAATGGCTTTTCGAAACGCAATAAAAATCGCGACAGGAATAATGGGAACTCCTAAAAATAATAATAATGATAATAAAATTTCATATTTTACTAAGGAAAGCGTTTTTTCATTTATTTAAAAACTAAAAAAAAATGTTAAATTTACCCCAACCGATGATGTAAAAAATAGTAAGGCTCGCTTCTTCGGCAAAAACATTAACGATTTGCCTGTGAAGATAAAAACCTTCGCAAAACATCCAAAAATAATTTGTCAATCTGAAATATTTCGTTGCGACTAACAACGCCTTGCAACTCAATTCGTTCTATTAAAAAAATAAATAAATAAATTATTAAACGAAATCAAAAATAAATAAATAAATAATATGTGAGCGAGTTTTTAATTACTTTGCTTATTCTCGAATTCCCTGATAAATCATCGAGTATGAATTCGGAATTGAATGCGATTTGCGTCGAACAATGAAACAATAAAGAAGCAAATAAATTTTTATGTAATATAATACGATGACACCTTAAAGATCTGTTTAAAAAAAAAAAGTTTAAAATTTTGTAGAGAAAAAATAAAATTTATTATTATTATTATTACTGATAATATTTACCTGAATTTTTGAAAAATGATAAGTGCAGGTACGAGAGCTATTACGGAAAGTGCATATGAACCTATTGTCACATACATTCTTTTTTCAATCATTGGTTTTGCCGAACATGGCGTGTAATTGGTCCATTCGTTATTTTTATCAAATGGATGATGAGCCCATTTTCCATTTTTTTCACACGTTTTTAATGCGAATGCTGAGGAAAATTTTTCATTTTTTGTAAACGATAAATAATTTAAAAAAAAAAAAAAATATTAAAAATGAATTTAAACTCACAATTCGTGCAATTTTCCATATTTGTCAATACGTAATTCGGACAAAGTTTTCGTTCTTGATTTCCAGGTTTTATATCAGGCCAACAAAGCCATCCGTCCCAAGTTCTCGGACACCAATTTTCTACTGTAATTGAATTATTTATTTATTTATTTATAATTATTGAGAAGAAAATAAATTTTTTTAAATAAAAAAAAAAGAAACCTTTTTGAGTTTTATTTGCAATCATTGATGTACAACAATCGGATGCACTTTTGCAACATTCTTTCCATTTATTAACGGCGACAGAATTTATAAATGATTTTAATATCGTTTCGTTTTCCATTAAATCTTGATAACTACTATGATTTTTCATTATAGTCTAAGAATAAGTAGAAAAAAAACGATAAATTTTTTTTAAGGGAGCCGGCCGTGATATTCGTGGTAAAAGGGGAGACAATGAAAAATGGCTAAAAACTTATAAAAAGCTGAATGGGAAAAAAAAAATTTATATAAAGGAAACGATGATCTCTTTCGAATTCCACATATTTTAATATATATAAGGAAAAAAAAAGCAGAAGAAATTTTTTTTTTTTACCTCTATAACGGATAAATCCAATGGGGAATTTTCTTTGAAGCTATAATTGGACATAAAACGATAGCATAAAACGCAACTGTCCATGTTAAATTCATCGTAGGGCAAATAAATATCATTTCTTGTCCTGCATAAGTTTTCGTTTTTAAATGGCGTCCCTTGAGGATGTACAATCGGCAATAAAAACTAAAAAGTTTAGGTTTTTTTTAGTTTTAGTTTTAGTTTTAATATTATTTAATTTAATTCTTTTGTGTGTGTGTGTGTGGGAGGGAGGGAAGAAAACTCACCGTAAAAAATAAAAAATTCTTCATCGGAATTTTTTATAATAATAATAATATTATTATCATCAACTGTTTGTCACTCTTTCATATTGATGCCATCATAATAATAATTATTTTCTCTGTGGAAACGTGACTGAAAGAGAAAAAAAAGAAAAATTTAATTGCTTTATTAACAAAAAAAAAAAAAATTTTTTTTTTTAATCTGGAAAATACTAATGGGGAGGCGGTCATTAAATTAAAGGGTAATACGGAGGAGGAGGAGTAGGGGGAGTCGTAGGAGGAAAGAGGAGGGAGAAGGCGGTATTAAATAAGCCGCAAGCAAACGTGAAATTTTCTTCTGTTTATACATTTCCTCTCAATTAATTTATTATTATTATTATTATTATTATGGTTTTTTTTTTTAATAATACGAAAGTACGAATGTATACACACGCATGCACGCACACGCACACGCACACCGATCGATATTTTTTTTTTTTTTTAAATTATGAAAAAAATTATTTGTACGTGCATTTTTCCAGGATAAAAAATTCGTAAAGGTTTTTTTTTCCGTCGGAAACGTTTTACATCACTCCCCCAATTTGGATTTACATAATAAATTTATTATTATTATTATCATCATCAATCAAATATCTATTGAAATATTATTATTGTTATTATTATTATTTTTTTTTTTAAATTTAAAACAAATCCTCGTTTATTATCCGATGGATATTGTTACACCTGACCTAACACACATTTGAAATTAATTATATTTACGTGCGTGATTAAAAATTTTTTTCAACGGATTCGAAAAAGGAAAAACAACCAATAATAATAATAATAATAATAATAATGATAATAATGATAGATGATGCGTATATATAAAATTTCGAGTAATAAAATTACAAAAAAAAAAAAGTTTTTTAAATTCTCACGTACGTTCGTACGTTTGTTCGTTTCCGGTACGTTTTCGGGGTACGTGAAATTTTATTTTCCGTCAAATTAATTAATTGATTAATTAATTAAAAAACTCTAATTTTTGATAAAATAATAAAATGGTTGAGAAACGTCAAAGAAAATTGAGAAAATTTTCCCGAACGAACAATTTGCTCCATTTTTTTTTTTTTTTCTCTCACACATCATTTCAAAAATTAAAATGATGACGATTTTTGAATTTTAAAATTTTATTTTATTTTATTTTTCACGCGTCGGCAAAATAAAATAAAATTCATAATTCATCATCATCATCATCATCATCATCATGATTTCACAGATCGATTATTATTATTATCATCATCATCATTACCATCATCATTATCATCACCGCGATAAAATTTAATATTACTTATGAGTTTAAAATTTTTATATTTTATTATTACTATGAGAATCACAAATTAAAGGAATAACAATGAAAAACTTATTTAAATATTAATAATAATAATAATGATGATGATTTAAAAGTAAAAAAAAGGTAGGGAGAAAAAGAAAGAAAATTAAAAAGTTTGTGAATTTATTGGAATTGATTGAAAAATAAAACAAATAAAAAAGAGAAAATTAAAAAAAAAAATAAAAAAACAAAAACAAAGGATTTTAAGTAAAACTATTTTATTTCCGGATGTGTGCGTGCGTGTGCGTGCGTATGTGCGTAAGTGCGTGCGTGTGTGTTTGACTTTAATTCATTTCGTTTCAAAGGAAACGGTATTTCTATGTATATAAATATCAAATTGATTCGATTTTTCTTGATAAAGTTTTTCCTTTTTTTTTTCTTTTTTTTTCTATTTTTGATCCTTGTTTATTTTCGTTAGGTTTCTTTTTGCATTTTATATGAAGAAGATGAAAAGAGAAAAAAAAAAAAACTAGAGGACAAATATATATATATATATATATGTAAATGTGTGTAATAAATAAAAAGTCAAAGGTCAACGATGACGATGACGATTTAAAAGTAAAAAAAAAAAAGGAATGATGATACCATATAACTTTTTAAACTTTTTTTTTTTATGCTCAAGGAAAAAGGAAAAAAATGATAGAAAGAGAGAGAGAGAGAGAGAAGGAGAGAGAGAGAGAAAAACAAAAAAAATAAAATAAAATTGAAAAAAATGTGATTCGAAAAGGTTTCAATATAAAAAAATAAAAAAAAATAAAAAACAATTCCATTTTATTAGTAAAGTTAAAATTTAATCAAAATTTAATTTCGAATACGAAAATTCTAAATTTGAAATTATAAGTTTTTTTTTTTTTATTGTAGTAATGAATGAATGAATTGATTGATTGATTACAAAACGGCTGTTTGAAAAAAAATATTTTTTTTCAATTAAATAATTTAATTCGTTGTTTATTTTCACACATTAACGAACGAATTTTCTTTCCTTTTTTCCTTTTGCGAATGAATTTTCTATTATTTTTTTTTTTACGGGAAACGGTTGTACCAATTTTAATTTGATATTAAAAATAAATAAATTTAGAGGAGAAAAAGAGAGAAAGAGAGAGATGAAAGGAAAGGAAAGGGGTGGTGGTGGTAATGGCGGTGATGGCGGTATGTGTTAAAGAGATTTCGAAAAGGTTTAGTCATTTTTTTTTAATAAATGTTAACGTTTTTCCCTCCCTCTCTCACTCTCTCTCCTTCTCTTTCTCTCTCTGTTCCTCTCTCTCTCTCTCTCTCTCTCTCTCTCTCTCTCTCTCTCTCTCTCTCTTCAGGAAATAAATTTTTTTTTTATTTTTCCGACTTTAATTTTTTATTTTTTCACATTTGAAATTTTTTTTTTTTTTATTAATTTTATTATTAAATTTCGTTTCGAATGTAAATTTTTCTTTTTTTTTCCACTACCGTTCTTTTGAACGTTTTTTTTTTTTTTGGAAAATTTATATAAAAAAATTTTCCCGATTGAATTTTTTTTACTCACTTGGGATCGTGGAGAAAAAAAAAATAAAATAAATTTTATTTTAATCTCGTCGTCGTGGTGGGGGTGGGGGTTGGGGTAGTGGTGGTGGTGGTGACCCTTTTTTCAGGAAACGTGCGTTTTGTAACACATTGAGTGTGCATAATTTATTGGTTATTACGTCACATGTCGAATAATTTCATTTTTAAAAAAATGAGAAAATATCTATTTTTTTTTTTTTTCTAGTTTTTCGAACCTTTCGAAAAAGGTTTTTATAAAAAAAAGAAAGAAAAAGCAAAAGGCAATTATGAAATGATATTTTGAAAGGTTTACGGTTCATAAATTTTTACAACAATAAAAAAAAAAAAAAGGTTTTTCGACAAAATTTTAAAAATTAATTAAAAAAAAAAATTTCAATAAAAATATATTTATATGTGTGTGATTTAAAGTTGACCCGCACACGTATACACACACTCACGCACCCACACACGATAGGATTAACTGGAGAGAGAGAGAGAGAGAAAAAATAAATTTTTTCCATACTTTAAAACCTTAAACAATAAAAAAAACGTCATAACGTAGTGATAGTAAACGTCATTAATTTTACTTCGTCTTATTCGGTTTATGTCTTTTTTTTTTTTAATATTAAACGTTAACCTTTTAGAAAGAAGGTTTTCTCCAAAAACCGACAATAATCAACTGGGAACAACCACCACCACCACCACCACAACTACTACTTTTATCTTCTACTTTTTAATAAACGCGAAAGTGTAAGCCAAAAAAACTCAAATCGAAAACTAAAAAAAAAAATTCCGATGAAAAAAAAAGAAAATTTAAATTCCACCGCTTTCTATGAAACCAGAAAAAAAATAAGATAAGCAGAAGAAAAAGAAGAAGAAGAAGCCACTTGAAAATCAATTTTTTACTCGTAAAAAAAAAAAAAAAATCTTTGGCGAAAACGTAATAAAAATATAAATTAAATATTTTCTACGCCATTTAATAATCATTCGCAATATATTTAAAAAAAAAAAAAAAAAAAATTTTTTTTTCTCTTTTTTTCCACGCGCACTCACGCACTCACGCACGCACGCACGCGTAATTTAATATTATGTTAAAAATAAAAGAAATAATACATAATAATAACTCGATAATAAAAAATTTATTAATATAAAGTTGAATTTATTTATTTATTTATTATATTTTGAAAGAAAAATTTTTTTTTTTTTTTTTAAATGGTGCGAAATACGGAAAATTATTCGAATAGGAAAAAAAGAAAAAAAATTTTCCTTTTTTTTCCTTTTTTTCCTTCTTTTTTTAATGTGATTCGAATAAAAAGAGAAAAAAAAAAAAACGATGACTAAAATAAGTTTGAATTATTTATTTATTTTTTTTTTTTTTTCCCGTAGGTTTAAAAAAGGAAAATAATTTTTTCCTTTGGCTTTCATAAAGAAAAGTTTTCCTTTCAAAAGGAATAAAAAAAAAAAGTGTCGCAAAGTTTTCTTTTTCTTTTTTAACAAAAATTTTAATATTGAAAAGAAAATTTTTTTTTTTGTAAATAAAAAAAAAGAAGGAAAAAAATTTAAACATTCTATTATCTTCTTCCACGTTTATTTTATTATTATCATTATCCATTTTCGGTTTACGAGAATGAGAAAATTATCGCAAGAAATAAAATGAAAAACATTAACTTTGAAAATGAAAATAAAAATAATAAAATTATTTATAAAAATTTTTTTTTCCTTTGAAATCCGAAACAATAACTACTTAAAAAAAAAAAAAAAAAAAAAGGTAAAAAAAGGAAATTATTTTTTGTCTGGAAAAAGTGTAAAAGGAAAGAGAGAGAGACAGAGAGAGAAAGGGAGAAGGAGAGAAAAAAAGAAAAATCTGTGGTGAAAATACGAAAGGAAAAAAAAATTTTTTTTTTTACTTTTTCCTTTTTTTTTTTAAATAAAATTTTCTTTTTTTTTCCTTTGAGGAGGAGACGAAAAAAAAAGGAAAAAAAATGAAATTTTCTTTTTTTCTTTTCGATATCTATGAAATTTGATTGTAGTAGTAAATTTGACACCGCAAAATGAAAGAAAAATTTTTTTTTTTTTTTTTATCATTAATGGATTCCATTATAGTTTTTTTTCCCAAAAAAAAAAATTACGTTGAAATGTACGTAAGGTC